CCTGTTGGAGGAGAGTCCTGGGGCAGTGTCTTTGGAGGGCAAATCTCTCTCTGATGTTCTTCCCCTGGGCTGTTTCCCAGCCACCACGAAGTACACAGTGGTTCCTCCACATGAAGTTCTGCTTCACCTCAGATCCACAGCAACAGACCAGGCAACCATGGACTGAACCTTTTAAAACTCTTAGCTCAGACAAACTTTTCTTCCTTTAAATTGTGTATGTGAGACATTCTCAACAGTGGGAACTCTGACCAGTACAGTATCCCTTGTAATATCCTCAGAAGAAATCAACTAATGTAAGTGTGTGTTTTCCTGAGTTCTGTGTATCACTGAACAAATTAATCAAAGCCAAGAAAGCACTTGGCAAAAGGCTGATTTACAGCCAGGTGAAATGCCTTGGGGTTGTGACTGGCATCTTAAGTGTGGGGCAGAGTGCAGTTTTGGGTCCGAAACCCTTAATCTGTGGGATCTGATGCTGTCTCTAGGTGGATCATGTCACAGCTGAACTGGATTAAGGGACACGCAGCTGATGTCCACTGCAGAACTGGGTAGTTGCTTGCTGGCAGGAAGAAATCTCACAGTTTTTGAGTCACAGAGGTCTTCTGTGTCCATTGTGGTGTGAGAGGAGAGGAAAATAGGCACTTTGTCTTTCCTGGTGTCACACAGTTGCACAAAGCAAGTCTCAGCGCTGTCTCCTCCCCAGGGTTTTGAGGAAAGCTGTACTGTGACCCTTATGTTCTCATAACAGAATTAACACAAACAACTGCTGCATGAGGGCAAAGAGATCAGATGGATTTAAAGGAAAAAAACCTCAAAATATGAGATGGAGAGATGATGACGAAAGTGCATGAATCTCTCCGCAGCCTCCTCACCTGTGGAAGGCACCCTTTCCACTCTGCCCTCTATTTGGAACACTGATTCACCAAGACTTCTTTCCTACACAAGCCTACAAGAAAGATGGGGAAGAGGTGAGGGGCCGGCTAATGGCTTAAAATAATATGTTCTTAGGAATTTATACTAGAGAAAAATTTATAGAAGTGATTGTCCATCACAGCCTTGCTAGTAATAGAAAAAATTAGGAACAACCTACTTATCAATAGGAGTTTTAATACAGATGGCAAGAGATAGCTACACAATGGCATTCTACAATGCATTTTAAAAGTCTCCAAGTAGATTAGGGTGGGTTAGGGAGACAGCTCCAGAGAAATCCAAAAATATGCAGAACAGTTCTGAGCACACAATCTATTTAAATACATATGCAAAGAAGAAATAATTTCTCAAACTATTAACTTTATTTCTGAATGGTTTTGTGTTGCTTGCAAAATGTCTGATGACAACATATTTAACATTAAATCTAAAAGAGACATAAAAGTTCTGGAATTCCTTTGTCAGAGACTGATACTTTACCCGACCCATGTTCTTTGAACAAGCTATGTTAGGGTCAGAGAAGGGCTCAAGGACTGGGAGTAACATCGTCTATGAAGAAAGGAACAGATGGGGTGCATGGCTGCACTTAGGTGGACACATAAGGAGAGAACTCCTAAAGCATAAGCGCTTGTGAAACCGACAGAGGGGTTTACAGCCCAATAGGCACAAAGCGTGCAAAATCCTACTGAAGATAAAGAACGGTACTATGTTTGACCACAATCATGAACATAGCACCAAGAATTTCCAAAGATGTGTATTCATGTCACTGGAGCAGCATACACAGCTTGTAGCATAAACTTGCTTTTGATAAAAGCAACATGAAATCAGGCCTTTTGCAATAGCTTTCCAAAGAGGAACCAGGAATTACAAACAAGGAAATAAGGAGATGAATCAGTATCTATTTCAGGTTCAAATTAGAGGTAAGAGTGAGTTGGCAAGAATTATTACTATTTTTAAAATATATTTTATTTTCCATTGACAAATAGTAATTGCATATAGTTGTGGGCCACAGTGAGATATTTGTTTTTATTTATTGCAGTGGTGGAAGCTGAGCCCACCAAGAAATTACTTACCAAGCTGCATCAACAGCCTTGATATTTCAATATATTTCCTTAATAGGTAATAATCACATTAGTAGAATCAGCATGTCTATCACCACAGACACATATCATGTGTGTTGGAACATCTGACATTCTCTCTAATGGCTATTTGGTAATTGTTGCTAACTAGAGTTTACCTACTATGCTAAGAATTACTGTTAGTAATTAAACATTAAAACTCTACCATACTAATGAAACATACAAAAAAAAATAACAACACAAATAAAATGAAACATATCATGATCATAACAGATAATCACTAGCAATTTTTTGTATTTATTTTTTTCTTACCTATATATCAATTCCATGAAAAATTAAATAATACGTATTTTTATTATAGCATAAATGTCTTTTTCATTTGGCAACTGCTCACATTTTTCTATCACTCTTTTTCTACTAGTAGGAATCAAATACAGAGCTGTTGTACTGAGGTTTTTGTTTTTTTAAATTTTGAGACAGGATCACATAAGATCAGCAAACTCACTTTGATTGTGAACGTACTTACAAAATTTTATTTCATGGTATGGGACTTACCATTTGAAATTAAAAAGTTTTCCTACGAATTTCAAAATTTTTACTTGATGTCATCTAATATTTACTTTGCAGCAATGGCAAAATTTTGAAATTTGTAGGCAGGGGATATAACTTAGGAGCATAGTACTTGCTTAGCATGTGGGAGAAACAATTCAGTCCCCAGCACTGCCTCACAAACTTGCATTTAAAATAGACTGGAGCATTTCAAAATATTTAGCATAATGGAAAATTACTTCTATTTTTAAAACAAAGAAAAATTATTAAGTTTTAAAATAAATGTATGTAGGGGGCTGGGGATTTAGCTCAGCGGCATAAGCGCCTGCCTTGCAAGCAGGCAGTCGTGAGTTCGATCCCTGGTATCGATAAAAACAAAAAAGACAAAAAAAAATAAATGTATGTGGTCTGATTAAGAATAAATCTTAGTTGGCATGGTGGCATGTGCCTGAAGGCCCAGCACTTGGGAGGCCGAAGCAAGAAGCCTCACGCCTGAGGTCAGTCTAGACTACATAACAAGATCCTGTGTCCCCCAAAAAATCAATCAATCAATCAATCAATCAGTCTCATGGTGGTGCAGGCCTGTGACCCCAGCTACTTGGGAGGCTGAGGCATGAAGACTGCAAGTACAAGGCCAGGCAACATAGCGAGACTCTGTCTTTAAAAGTAAAAAGGTAAGAAAAGGGTTGGGGACCTAGCATAGTGGCAGCAGGCTTGCACAGCATGCTTAAGTCCTATTACTGGGTTTGATCTTCAGGACAAGAAAAACAATCTTATTTTTCAAACTTGTTCATTTAATAGTGCTCCTTAGGTAAATCTTGTATTTGACAAACCAGGCATTTTTCTCCTTTCAAAATGAGGTTATTGGGGGCTGGGGATTTAGCTCAGTGGCATAAGCGTCTGCCTTGCAAGCAGGCAGTCATGAGTTCGATCCCTGGTACTGATAAAAAAAGGAAAAAGACCAAAAAAAAAAAAAAAAAAGAGGTTATTTGTAATTAATCACACATACATCTATTATTCTCTGCCTTCACTAACACACTGCCATGGAAAGCATTTTCTATTTCCTGGAACATATAATATGTAGTGTAGACTCTAAAGAAAAAATCTGCTTTCAAAACTCTAAGCATCTATTATCTTGTCCTTTTCTTCTGCTCAAACTATATACCAAAAACTAACTCCTAATCGCTTTGGACTCCATGAATCCCTGTTCCCAAGCCATTCCACTCAGCATGATGAATCCCTCCTGTAATGACTAATACCTCCCTGTAGTATCTCCCTCAGCCCACAGGGTCACAAGTGACTCTGATAGTTAGTTTCACTGAAGTGTCACTGTGAGCTGTCAAAAGAGCAAATATGAACATGAGAAATGCGTTTCTTCCTGTCCCGATGCATTCTGAAGGGCAGTGCTCATTTGCTTGGCTTTCTCTGGCTGTGTAAATTAACCTGAAACAGGAAACGTCCGTTCCTGGGTTGCTAACAAACCGTGAGTGGCCCTAATTCCATTTGCCCAGATCTCATGGCAGATCATGTGCAGCCAGCACCATGAGGCACAGCAAGGCCCTGGCCTCGATGCCCTGCTAGAACAATCCTCACTGCCGGCCAGCCAAGCCTGTCTGCAGGCAGGCAAGGGCATGGTTCCTGGCTTTACGCACAGGAAGAAGACAGGAGGTCCTTCTTCCCTGCTGCTGTCTCTAAATTCTCCTCCCCTTTCGACTGATTTGCATTTTTCCCTTCCTTTTTCTAGTCTGTACCACACACATAGCTTCCAAAACCCATGTTTAAGTGGAGCTTATTTGTAAAGCAGAATGAAGCCAACCCAGAGAGAAAAGATGCGTGTGAGAGAGAGACAGAGGCAGAGACAGAGACAGAGACAGAGAGTGTGACAAGATCAGCAGACCTCACCACCCCATCTGCTCCATTTACAGCCACTCACATATTCCTTCTTTATCTACACGTAGCAAGTTGGGTTTGTCACACGTAACCAAAGGAATCCAAAGACGGCACAATAGACACCCAGATTGCTTGAGATAAAATAGTATGCTTGCTTTCTTTTGCCTTAAACTTCCCATCCCCACTGCCTTTGGACTCTTCCTTTTAAAGGCCATGCCATTACACTTCCCCAGTCAGACTCAGAACAAATAGTCTTGCTTTTGTTCCGTGCAGACCTGGTTTCTGTGCAGAGATAATGTAGCAAGAGAATCAAGGTCAATCCATAATGCTGTGGCTGGTTTGTCCTGCAAATGACTACTTCTGATCACTTTCACAGGGATTCTTTTTTTTTTTTTGGTAATTTCTCTGGGCAGCAGAGCATGCAACAAAAACAAAACACAAGCTGTTCTTACCTAGCCTTAAACAGCCATGGCTACTTGCCCCTCATCTCATAAATCTCGGTGTGCTTTTGTTTGGTTTGGTTTGGTTGGTAAGGGACACAGATGACAGGGCACTCACCCGCTTTGGTATCTGTCCAGCTCATGGAGCACTGTGTGGTCACAATATTCAAACACCAGGTGGAGCCTCCGCTTTCTCCTGAACACCTCCAGCAGGTTGACCAGGTTGGGATGCTTGAGTTGCTGCGAACCCCAAAAGGCGAAGTGTTAAATCTCCACAACAGAAGACAGTTTTTTCTACATTTTATCCCCTGAAGAGAAAGCTGGTTTCCTTTATGAGATTCAGTTCTTGGCTTAAGAAGGCTGTAACCAGCTTTATCTTACCTCTCTTTCGGGGCTATTTGTCAATTGCTTGCAAGTAAAAAATCATTATAACCTAGGTGGTTGGTGAAAACAAAGAAGCTGGAAAAGAAGAAGGCTGGTGAACAGGGGAGAATGAAAAGGGAAGGGAAATTATAAATCAACACAGACTCAGCTTTCAAGGCATGGACCAAATGTCCCTTCTTGGATCTCCCTGATCTCCCCAGCCCAGTTCAGTGCCCTGCCTGTCTCAAGGTCCCCTCAAAGCCCATCTTTTTCACAATTACTAAGTAATCTAAGCAGTAATACATAATCCTTACTAATTATTGTTCCATTAGCTTTTTCATGGTCTTAGGGGTCCACCGATACTGATACATGCATAGGTAAATCCAGGAGAATGTAAGAACCATGACATCAGACCTTTGTTCTCTTGTTTACCCCAAATTATGCTGCTCCTCCAGCACTGGCTTTGCATACCAGGCATTCATGATGATCTGTGAACACGCAAGGAGATATGTTTCCAAGGCCGGGAAACACGTTAAAACAGAACACTAAGAAAGGCTGTCTGACGGAATGGGCTGTGGGGAGCGCGGCTAGAAAAGGGCAGAGACGGATGCTGGCTCGATGGAGGTAAACCTCACACTGGGCTTCCTGGCCGCTCAGCCCACAGTCCTGTCAGAAACCGCCACTGAGCACTGGCTTCTCTTTTTCTGAAGAAGAAAGCAACACTGGTGCTGAGGAAGACAAAACTCACAGGAAAATACAAGCACAGATTCCCTGCCCACATGCTTGTTCTTGCTCTGCTCACCTAATAAATCTCCACTAACATCCATTTGATTTATTGCATGATTTTAACAGTATTGCACTGCCCCTTTTTCCAAATATTCTTTGGTAGTATCACCAAATCATTTTCCATTCAGAAATTGCTTGATCATATGTACTTTTTCCCTACTTAAAAAAAAAAAAAAAACTGTTGTAAATGTATACATCATGGGGGCTGGGGATTTAGCTCAGCGGCATAAGCGCCTGCCTTACAAGCAGGCAGTTGCGAGTTCGATCCCCGGTACCGATAAAAAAGAAAAAGACAAAAAAAAATGTATACAGCATAAAACCTACCACCTAAACCATTTTAAAAACTGCAGCTCAGGGATACTAAGTGTATTCATATTGTTGTACAACTATAAACCACATCCATCTCCAGAACACTTTTCATTTGCAAAACTAGAGGTCTGTTCAGTTTCATTATTCAAAACTCCCCACAATATTCCTCTCCCCAGTCACAGGCAACCACCATTCTACTTTCGGTATCCGTGACTTTGTTTTTGGTTTTGTTTCTTGAGACAGGGTCTTGCTACATAATCCAGGCTGGCCTTAAATTTACTATGCAACCCAAGGTGGCCCCAAACTCATGGCAACCCTCCTGCCTCAGCCTCCCAATCCTCAGGGATTACAGGCATGCACCACCATGCCCAGACTTCTATATCCATGATTTTATGTACTTTTGGCACCTCAAACAGGTGGGATTATACAGTGTTTGCCTCCTCCAGACACATTTATTTTTCTTAGAATAAAATGTCCTTAAGAATCATCCATACTACAGCATATGTCAGAATTTTCTTTATTTTTAAGGCTGACAATATTCCTTCATATGCATATACCACATTTTGTTTGTCCAGTCATCTAGTGATTGATGGATACTTGGGTTGCTTCTCTCACTTGACTATTGTGAATAAAGCTGCTAGGAATGTAGGTGTTCAGATATTTCTGTTGCTCTGGCTTTCCATTCTTTTGGAAGTACCCATTTTATTTTTCTCCTCAAAGTTCTCCAGGTGATTCAATGAGCAGCCAGAGGTCTAACTCACAGGCAAGCAGGTGACAAGTGATAAAAGTTAGAGAGGAAAACCACAGCCCGGGAACTACGTGCGGTGGCACACGGTTAGGGGTCACGAGGACAGTTCTTTTCACATTTTCTTTGTCAAATGCCCCTGTACACTCAGGATGAAGAAATTCCAGCCAGACCTGACACTGCATGAAACAAGGATGAATCACCAACATACGCTAAAGCCCATATCCTAGCCTGTTTGTGCTTTCAGAACAAAATGCCTCGGATTGAGGAACTCGCAAAGAACAGGAACTTATTTCTCAGCTCTGGAGGCTGCGAAGTCTAAGATGAAGGCCCAGGCCTGGTGGCCGGTGCAGCTGCTCCCCCTTCCCATGTGGCCCCTGCTGCTGCATCCTCATGTGGCAGAAGACAGAAGGACAAGTGAGCTCACCCTTCTACCTTGAACCCATTTATTTGTTTTATCTTTTTGCAATGCTAAGAATCCAATCCAGGGCTTTGCACATGCTAAGAACACCTTCAATTGCTGGGCTATTTCAATTCCTGAGCCCTTTTCTAAGGGTATGAACCCCAACCTTGAGGACAGAGCTTTCAGGTCTCCCCAGGCCACACCTCTTAGTACTGGTGCACCCGGGGTTAAGTTTCAACATGAATTTTGGAAAGAACATCGGCATGCACGTCAAAGCAGCCCATTAATCACGTTTGGGTCTTAGAACGGAGCACGCCAAGCTAAAAATGCCACATTTATGTCACCATACCCAGAGACATTTAGCCTGAGCTAACATTTTCCAGACATAGCAGGAAAGAACTCACAGCCTTAAACTCAAAATGGCATTGGTTCGGATGTCTCAAATACACAGCAAAGACCAAATGAAGGGGCCAAATAGCAGCTTTATGACAGAATTAGCAGAAAGTAGAGATTTTCTTTCAGACTGAAAAAGCACCATCCTGGTATGGAAACAGGAAAAAAAAAATGCAAGTGGGTTATACTATTAGTGCCTCTTAGTTCATTAAAAAGGAAGGTTTGTGCTAATATCAATTGGAAAATTTTTATGCCCATATCTTGTACCCTGAGTAACTACTTTAAAGATAACAACATGAAATGTATTAACTATTGTGATTCTCCTATTATTTGGTTATGAAATGCTGTTTTACCTTTATTCCATTTTTTAAAAAAATCATCACCCTTAGGCCTCTCATTTTTATACAACACCCTCCTTTGACAGAATGTGATAATGCAGACAAGACTCCAATCTTAGGGTCTTTTACTTCCCTGGGTTCCACACTTAGCTCTCACTTGCATCCCTGGCCCCACTTTCTAAGCACAAGTAGAAAGGCATGATTTCATCTAAACAAATCCAAACTTCTCTGCCTGGCAAGACTGCAAGGATCACCACAGGAAACTGCTGCCCCACGCTAGGCCCAAAGGTCTGCCTCAGGGCAAGCCAGGAAGAAAACAAGTCATCGTCTCCTGAGATCCAGCCATGCTGGAACTTAGGGTGCTGAGCAAGAAACCAACATGCCCCCCTTCCTGGTAAGCAGCCGTGGTGTGAGCAAGTGGTGGTTGTGTCAGGAAGAAATCAAGTCAGCGTCTCTGTGAGCCTACTGGCGCATGGGCTGAGAATCAAACATCTCCCCTAAACCCCATTTAGCAACTGGGGACCAGAGGTCTGAGCATCTCTTCGGAAGATGACTGTATGCAACAGAGCAAATATGGGGGATTTCCTTCTATCTTCTCTTTGAAGGCAAATACTGCTTTCACTGTTTGACTTTATTCGACTGTTTTGCTCTATTCAATATTTTGTTTTGTTAAGTTTTATAATGTTCTGGTTTTGGTTTGTCCTGATTGAATGGACAACTATTGTGAAGATAACGAGATACACTATGGAACCTATTACTGTTATCCTGGTAACCTGCTCTGAAATTCTGTACCAGTTTCACTGCTTTGTCTCGATTAGCTTTGTTCTGTCTTGTTTGGTTGTATTTTACTATCTTCAACATTTAAGAAAAAAACAAAGATCTGCCTCATCTGGCCTTGCTTAGCTTTCCAGCCGCACTGCTCACGGCTTCCTCCTGGACCACTGAACTTTTCCTACGCCCCTTCCAGTTTTAGAATTTGTTCAGTTTGTTCTCTCTGCGATAGTCCCCACCTTTAGATGTCACTTTCCATGCCCAGCATCCTCTGGTCCATACAGACACAGCTAGGATGCGCTAGAAGAGCTACCCATGACACTGGAACCCACGCAAGGGGTGCCCCCGTATCACTGTCAGAGCAGTACCCATCGTTCTGAATGGGACCAGTAGCTCTTTATTACACCTTTCTCATGTCACACCTTTTGAAAACTCAGATTCTAATACTGCATGATATTCTACTCAGATGACACATATGTTCTTTCCAATTTCTTTGATATCACTAGTACGTTGACTTAACTTTCTCTAAGTTAATTAACTTCTCCAGACATCGGTTATGCAATAGTAGGCAGCTCACAGCTGCAGTGACAAGTACACATGAACCACATGCAACTACATCAAGCACAGGTGACCTTTCTATAAAGGCCAGCTCGTAATAGTGTTGCTTTCAGTTACATCTGTTTTGATTTGAGATGATCTTCTCTAGTCATTTTATTCAAGAACTATTCATGTATCTTAAGGTACATAAAGCACTGGGATAGCCCGAAGAATAAAAGCTAGGAATACAGCAGAGGAGACAGACACTGGATGAGTCAACATCAAAGTAATGGATGTTACAATAACCAAGGTAAAGGGCCCTTGATTTCAGGATGAGGCAATGTTTATTAAATTACTGGTTCACTCACTGAGAATGAACTAAAGTTTTCCAGGTACTACCTGGAGCCTCAAAATACAATTTCATGGTTCTAAATAGCCCTGGTTAAATTACTTTCCTTTTTGTGTGTGTGTGTGTGTGTGTGTGTGTGTGTGTCTTTTTGAGACAGGGTCTCGCTGTGCAGTTCAGGCTGGCCTTGAGCTCACTTTCTAGCCCAGGCTGGTCTCAAACTCGCAACGATCCTCCTGCCTCAGCCTC